GACCCTATAACACAGTAGAACTGTCCCCATGGGATTTCTAATCTTTACAGAAGCAGGTTACCACATCTCTCTCCTGTGGAACAATTGGTCATCTCTAACTACCAACGTTTCCATCAGGAGCTGAGTGCTCTAAGCACCACACCACCAGGGCTCCTCGTCTGGTGAGGAGTTCTGTCGAATTCAGCATTAGGCTTTAGTGGCAAGCTGCTAAACAATTTGTCTCCTCAAGCACAGAGACTGAGACAGAGAGGGAGTATCTGCACTCACTGAATAAATCATGATTTCGCTGTTCATTTTTAACTCCCTTTACCAGCTGCACAGGGATCTCATCAAGGTTTGGATGTTTCACTTGGTTTTATTCAAGCCCTAGCCAATATCTCAAAGCCCAGTGTACAGTCAGAATGAGGCATATTTTGAATAACTATGCTTTAAAATTCACAAGCAAATACTTCTCTTGGTAGGTTCAAAATTTTCAGCCGATTGATTGTCAAATCAAATGCGCTAACCTAACCTAACTGCCATTGAGTCAGCCCTGACTCATGGGATCTATGTGAACAAGTCAAGCTGAGAAAAGCCAGACCTGAAACAGAAGAACTGGCCAGCTGAGCACAGCCCAAGTGGGCTCACCTCTGAATCATGACTTAATTCGTAAGATGTTCCTTTAAGACACTAAGGTTTAGGATAATTTGTTGCACAGCAAAAGTAAACTGATAGGTAAGCTTTGCTTTGGACACTTGTTTGTTCTGTAAGTTGGGCACAACAAAAATTTACTTTCTCTCAACTTCAGTTTCTTCATCTACAACATGAGGACAGCAGTAGCCACTGTGCGTGCCAATAGTACTGGTTGATATGAAACCATATCACTTCTTCAATATTTCAAGTGATCCTGAGAAATCAGGTTGTCATGAGGACCTACTGAGGTCACACATGCCAAAGCCCCAGTTCCTAGATTTTCAAAATATGGAAGAAAGTAATTTTTAAATATGACTTTAATAAAGATAGCTATAATGGAGTCCTGGTATGGCACTGTGGGTTAGTGCGATGGACTGCAAAGTCGATTTGAGCTGCAAGGTTGGTGGTTCAAGCTCACCTTGAAACCCTATTTGTGGTCACTATGGATCAGAACCGACTCAACGGCACTTAACAACAAAAACAATAACACATAATGTAAATACCAACATCCTCAATTTCTGAGACACCTAAACAAAGGTGTTATGGCACCAGGGTTTGAGGAGACAGCCCCAACCAATACCAAGCATTGAGACACCTTTTTCCAGTGTTACACAAACCAGCTTTATCTCCAATAAATTCACTTTCCTTTAAAACAAACCGATCTAATGGAAACAGCAACCGAGAGGAGAGAAGCTAGGAGGTGCAGAAGGGGAGAGAAAAATCAGCCTTTTCTAATCTCAGTCAATGCATGCATGGTTCATTTTCTGATGCACTAAGGGTTTTGATATTCCACTTGGCAGGAAACATAAAGAAAAGTATTTCCTAATTAAGCTCAAATTCCCTATATCTTCCTTCATCCCCTTCCCCGCTTCCCTGTCAGGAAAAAAGATAGATGGATAGATGGATGGATGGGTAGGTTTATGGATAGATAGATAGATAGATAGATGCAAAAACATACTTACCCTCTCTGAAAGAGATCCACATTATAAAATTTATGCAGCTCCACAGAAAACTCAACTGTTCCTTGTACTTCAGACATGATCTTTTTGGTTCATTACCTGGAAAACAAGATAGAAATTAATGTCTTAGAATCATGTTAACCAAAAACAGGAACCTGGGCTTCTACATTGTGCAAACACATGGGTTTTAAATGGACACGAGTTTCTGACAAAGGTTCCTTGTATCAGAACAGAGAGGTTAAATGAGTGGCTTAATGCCACACAGCTTATAATTGGAAGAGCTGGATTCAAATCTAGACTTGCAGACTCTAGAGTCAGGCTGGCATTCTGCCCTTCCCTATCTGTCAGCATCCGAGCTGAACACACACTTCTGTTTAAAGGTGTGAGATCCCTGTCCATTTCCAGCTATGTGACCTTTAACAAGTCACTTAACTTCTCTTATCCCAGTGTCTGATGAAGACTAACCACAGCCTAGAGCTCAGGAGAGGACGCTGAGATGAAATGAGCTACAGTACTCTGTACGATTTTTGACACAGAGAATACTCAATAAATGGAGGTGCCATTAATAATGATTCATGTGAATAATAAATCAGCTTAGGATCTCATTCTGTGTAAAGTCTTTGAAGGGGGCTGGTATGGAAGGCACAAGCATGGAGAGCGGAGGGTGGATGATGTTGATGGGCAGATGTTGAGCCCAATCACCGCTGCTACTGTGAGTTGCTGGAGGGTCAACGTGGACGATGGTGACACCACATATCAGAGCAGAACTGCCCCATTGCACTTTTGAGGGTTTGATCTTTCTGAAGCAGATTTCCAGGCTTGTCCTCTGAGGCATCTCTGGGGGTGGGGACTTGAACTATCAACCTTGACTAGTAACTGAGTGTGTAACCCACCCCAACTTGAAAAATTCAAACCCACTGCTGTGAAATCAATTTCAACTCATAAGGTCCCTACGGGGCAAATTAGACTTGTTTCACAGGGTTTCCAACACTGCAGTCGCAGTAGCTCCATACGATAAGCACTGGACTGAGAATCACAAGATCTGTGGTTCAAGACTGCCAGCTGCTCCACGAGAAAAAGATGAGGCTTTCTGCTCCTGAAACCCTATACGGGTCACTGTGAGTCGGAACCAACTCCACAGCATGTAACAATGGCAGTCCTTATTCTCCTGCAGAGTGGCCAGTGGTTTCAAAGTGCCGGCCTTTCAGTTAGCAGTCCAACGCTTAACCCACCCTCCACCAGGGTTCATAAGCGAAACCAACGAAACCAAAATAAAAGTCAACCAACTGCTGTCCAGTCAGCTCCAAGTCCCAGAGAGCCTGTGAGACGCAGCAACGCTGTGCCACCCGGCTTCCAAGGCTGCCGTCCTTACAGAGGCAGACAGCAGCATCTTCGTCCTGTGGATTTGAACCGCAGAGCTTTGGGTTAGCAGATGAGTGCTTTAACCACTGTGCTACCAGTACTTTGTAAAACCAAGAGACCCCAAAACCAGCAGCAAGAACAATGAGTGGGAACAAAATCAAAATAGCCCAAACTTGGGGTGAGCACAAATGGAGAGAGAGACTCACAGCAGGGTAAAATTCCCTAGGATATGAGTAACTCCAGACACCAGGAATTTGGAAGAAGGGAATGAAACCGATCTTCATTGAACACCTACTATGTGCTTGGTGCCTCATTTCCTCCAACAACTTGTGGTAACTCTTGCACCAGTTTGAAGAGCAGAAGAAAGGCCTTTAGAGGCTCTGATATGGAGACAGTACTAACTCTAGGATGTTCTGAGCTCTATCCTTAAATAAGTCTCTCCACGTCCCCAAGCCTCAGTTTACTACCATGTGCAATGCAGGTGAGACAAGTGCCCTAGCATGAGTGTAGATAGGACAGGAGACAGTCCCTTACAGTGGGGCTCAGCAGGGTCTCCACGGGAAGCAGCTGGCAGTGAAGGAAAGGGAAAAGACAGAAGGAAGCAAGAGGACACGTGGTCTTTCCTGGTTGGCTGTGGTGATTGGCACAGAGGTCTTATTTTAGAACCTCTCTTCTTTCAGAGACTGATTGTCATTGCTAAGGTTCCTAGCTGAAGCCCACTATACTTCAGCTAGGGGTCACACAAGGCCAGTTCCTAAGAACCAGAGCACAAGGGATTAACTAGGCTTCACCTTTGAGTTCCAGCATGTCAGGCCAGCGTGTCATCTGTGGAAACAGTCCTGAAGTCACAGAGAATCACAGATCCTAGCAACTGGCCTCTAGAAATCCTGCAAGACAGGACTCCTGAGGAGCCTGGACAGACCCTTTTCCCAAATGCAGGAAGCAGCCAATGTCAGAGGCACAGCTCAATTTCAATTTCAAGGCATTTCCAGTCAGAGCCCGAGAGAACAAGCACATGAGCCACTCTGCACCTGGTTAATGTGGTCGCATTAATTAGCACCAGCTGCATGGGTCGAAGTTCCTCACCACCTCACTTCAGCTCAGCCGGCATATCGGGTGGAGTCCTCCCTGGCAACTCCCAGTTTTCCATCTTCCCTAGACTCTCCCCTGATCTAATCTCTAATGGGGGTAGGGTGGTAGGAAAGGACCAAGAGGGAGCAAAACAACACCCATTAGCACAGCAAGCCTACCATGTGCCAGAAACAACAAGGGGTCTGCAAGCATTACTTCATGCAATCCTTAAAATCCTCCCAGGTAGGTAGTATCGATCCTGGTTCACTAAGGATATCCACAGAGACCATAGTTTCCCAAGACAGCCCTCACTGGGCACACATGGCAGGGCACACTGCCTTTCTACAGAATTAACATTTAGTGGAAAATGTATTTGCTCCAATGCGTGAAGCATGCCATTCACAAATTGTTTTCTCCTACCATTCTCTGATATCATGCTCGGTCAAGTGGAGGTTCAGGGAAAAAGACGATCCTCAACAATAGAGGCTGTTGTGGCTGCAACATTGGGTTCACACATAGCAACGGTTGGGAGGATGGTAGAGAACCGGGCAGTGTTTTACTCTGTTGTATACAGACTCAATGAAACCTACAAGAACACCAACCATTGATGTTACACTTGAATCCATTGCTGCTGTTACCGTGCCAATCCATCTCCATGGGGCTCTTCCTCTTTTTCATTGGCCCACCACTATATCCAGTATAATGTCCTTCTTCAAGGACTGGCCCTTCCTGATAGCACGTCCAAAGTATGAGAGATGAAGTCTCCACAATCTGGCTTCTAAGGAGCACTCCAGATTTACTTCTTCCAACACGGACCTGTTTGTTCCTCTGGTAGTTCCATATTCTACTGCAACACTCCAACTCACATACATCAAGTCTTCTAAGGTCCTCCTTATTCACGGCTCTACTTTCATATGTATACAAGGCAATTGAAAATACCATGGCTTGGATCAGGCACACCTTAGTACTCAAACTTATATCTCTTTGCTCTTGAACACCTTAAAGAGGTCTTGTGCAGCAGATTTTCTATATGTATGACTTCTTGGTTGCTGCTTGCATGAGTATTGATTGTGGATCCAAGCGATATGAAGTCTTTGACAACTTCAATCTTTTTTCCATTTATCATGATGTTATCTATTGTTCCAGTTGTGAGGATTTCTGTTTTCTTTACATTGAGGAGAAATTCCATACTGAAGGCTGTGTTCTCTGACCTTCATCAGTAAATATTTTAAGTCTTCTATGCTTCCAGCAAGCAAGGTCGTATCATCTGCTTATCACACAGTTTATTAGTAAATCTTCCTCCAATCCTGATGCCACATTCTTCCTCATAAAATCCAGCTTCTTGGATTGTTTGCCCAGCATACAGATTGAATAAGTGTGATAAAAGAATACAACCCTGGCACACGCCTTCTCTGATTCTAAATCATCCAGTATCCTCTGGTTCTATCTGAACACTGGCCTCTTGGTGTATACAGATTCCTTATGAGCATAATTCACTTAGCTTGTCATAATTCACAGACAGAGACCATGATAAGTGGAGATAAAAAAGAATGTGGAATGCTTAACCTAGCATCTGGCACATTATAAGAAAACACTCACATAATACACACATGGCAGGTGCACAAAGACACATGATGCAGCTAATAAACATCCAGCACACATGGCACATCCCAAACACACACACATAATGTACACACCAACACCAAACACACAACCCAACATACAACCCCACTCAAAACCAATGAATCCAACATGCACAGCCACCACACACATGTACCCAGCATACACACCAACATTCAGTCCACAATCCCCATCAAACACATCCACTCACAACCAAGCAGACAGAGACACCATGTACACATATCCCACATTCATATACACTTAAGATACACACTTGGCAAACACACCAACACAGTACACATACATACCCAACACACAGCAGAAATGCCCAACACATAACGCACAGACACACACAAACACACACCCCAGGCATCTGTGTGCACTAATGTCTTAATACACCAGCTGTCTTCCATACTTTTGATGCTTCCAATCATTCTACCTCATGTGTAAGGGAAAGTTGGACAGTGAATAAGGAAGATCATAGAAGAATTGATGCATTTGAGTTACAGTGTTGGAGAATATTGGAAGTACCACGGACTGCCAGAAGAACAAACTGATCTGTGTCGAAGAAGTACAGCCAGAATGCTTCTTAGAAGCTAGGATGGTCAGACTTCATCTCTCATACTTTGAACATATTATTTGAAGGGATAAATCCCCAGAGAAGGACATTATGCTTAGTAAAGTGGAGGGTAAGCGAAGAAGAGGAAGATTCCCAGCGAGCTGGATTGACACAGTAGCAGCAGCAATGGGCTCAGGAGTGGCAACATTTGTGAGGTTGGCCCAGGACCAGGCAGTGTTTCGTTCTGTTGTGCATAAGGTCACTATGAGTCGGTGCTGACTCAATGGCACTTAACAACAACAACAGCATTCATTCTCCTACATCATGTGAACCAGAGATGCTCAACTTCACACACACCTTAGACTACAGGCTGCTGCGTGTCTGAGAACACTTCACATGGAACATGAGAAAAGATCTTGCCCTCATGATGCTCAAAGATTTGGAGGTCTCCAGTGACACAGACAGTGA